TCACCCCCCCCATGAGACCCCCCCCAAATCACATCTGCATTGGGGTTTTTCTGGGGTTAATGGGGTCTTTATGGGGGCATTGGGGTTTTTATGGGGTCAGTGGGGTCTCTATGAGACACTGGGTTTTTTCTGGAGTTAATGGGGTCTCTATGAGCTCAATGCTGTCTTTATGGGATCAGTGGGGTCTCTATGGGGCATTGCAGTCTCTATAAGGCATTGGGGTCTCCATGGGGTTAATGGGGTCTCCATGGGCTCCAGGGGTCTCTATGGGGCATTGGGCTTTCTATGAGGTCAGTGGGGTCTCTATGGGGCATTGGGATTTTTCTGGGGTTAATGGGGTCTCTATGGGTTCAATGGAGTCTCTATGGGGTCAATGGAGTCAATGGGGTCTCTATGGGGTCAATGGGATCAATGAGGTCTCTATGGGATCAATGGGGTCTCTATGGGGTCCAGGAGTCTCTATGGGGCACTGGGGTTTTTCTGGGGTCAATGGGGTCTCTATGGGCTCAGTGGTGTCTTTATGGGATCAATGGGGTCTCTATGGGGTCAGTGGGGTTTCGATGGGGTCAGTGGTGTCAATGGGGTCTCTATGGGGTCAGTGGGGTCTCTATGGGGTCAGTGGGGTCAATGGGGTCTCTATGGGGTCTCTATGGGGTCAATGGGGTCTCTATGGGGCACTGCGATCCCATACGGCACATTGGGGGTGACCACGTGACCGCGGCGGCGCAGTGACGTCACTGTCTGGCAGCGGTGCCGCAGGGCGCATGCGCGGTGTCCCCGGTGCTGTTGGGCTGCGCGGGTCACTGCGAGTCAGGCGCGTTCCCGGCTCGGCGCGCGGTCACGGCGGTCACGTGGCACCGCATCACTTCCGCCGCGCGGTGCTGCACCATCGGGAGCGCGCGGAAGGTGCGCCATCCCATAATAGCCCCCCTAACATCGCGTCATGCTTCGCGTCCGTTGCCCACTGCATGGAGCCCCTGAGCCGCACGGCCCATACAGACACAACCCGTGAGCCCACACCCCATAATATCCCACACCCCATAATATCCTACATCCCATAATATCCCACACCCCATAATATCCTACATCCCATAATATCCCACACCCCATAATATCCCACACCCCATAACCCAATAACCCCACAGCCCACATCCCATAATATCCCACACCCCGTAATATTCCATAACCCCACAGCCCATAATATTCCATAACCCCATATCCCATAATATCCCAGACCCCATAAAGCCTCACCCCATAACCTCACACCCCATAACCCCACACCTCATAGCCTCACCCCATAACCCCACATCCCATAATATCCCACACCCCATAACCCAATAACCCCATAAGCCCACATCCCATAAAATCCCAAACCCCGTAATCCCACAACCCCAAAACACAATAACCCCACAGCCCACATCCCATAATATCCCACACCCCATAACCCAATAACCCCATAAACCCACATCCCATAATATCTCACACCCCATAATCCCACAACCCCAAAACCCAATAACCCCACAACCCACACCCCATAATATCC